CCTGTAATTGCCAAATTAGACCCAGTTCATTTGCTTTCCTTCTCCAAGTACCTGTTGTTTGTTGTTGAGTGTTTTTGTGTGTGTGTGTGTGTGTGTGTGTGTCTCGATAAGACTTGTACACTCTAGATTAGCATAATCACAATAATTAAATCATAATTACATTTGCAATAAACACAAAGCCTCCATGCAAAACAGCATAGAAATAGCATGTTTCTAATGGGGCCAATTTCTTGTGCTGCTACCTCCAGTTTCCGTTCTGAATCTTGATAGGCTTGTTGGATAGGGACTCGATTGGGATGTTGGGTGACTGATGTTGTTTGTGTTCCTCAGATAAAATGACATATACTGTGCTATGTTTTCTTATACGCAAGGCCCTTCTCTCTTACCTCGCTCCCAGATGGGCCAGATATGACGTCTTCTCCCAGCTTTTCCATCAAAGCAAACAGAGCCAACAGCAACAGATGATCGCCAAGCAAAGCTGAATTACCATCTAAATCTGGCTTGTCTTCCAGCCCCAACTGTTTATGGAAGCGACACATGTTGTATTTAAAACCTGTCGGCTGCTTCTGCTCATTAAGCATTTGATTTGGAATTGGGTGTGAATTTTGCGGGTGGTTAGTGAATGACAGCATGTTTCCTCCTGTTTTATCGACTGTTACACTTATGTGTTCACAGTAGGTGGATCCACTGTTTTTTTTTTATTGTTTTTTTGGATTATCTTTGTCTTTTGACAAAAATATCCTTTAAATTTGGTCAATATTTTCATTTATTCAGTTTTACTCAAAATAAAATGGCATCTAATTTTACATATGCCATTCAAAAAATGTAGTTGACAATGTGCTAAATTAATCATACATGAAACCATCTTATATTAACTGTTCTTATTGTGAAAACTTAATCTCCTGAAATAATGTTACAAAAAACTATTGTCAAAATATTGTGAATTCTTTACACGCCAGTAATTTAGTTGTTATTAAAAAGCATACCACATATTTTGATGAGCAAGTTTACATGCACATGTATTTTGTCAGTTGACATTATTGGTGTCATGAACTGCACTGAGACACGAAGGTAGAGGATCCAAATGCAGTAGTTTATTGAAGGGATAATCCACAAACATAATCCAAAGGCAGGCACAGGTCATACACAAACAGGCAATCTAAAACAACGACAGAGTAAGGGGCTGAGGCAAACAGAGTAATCCAGAAAACAGGCAGAATAACAAGACCAGGAACCAAGATACGGGAGAACCAGGGTACAAGGATTAGAATTGCAGTAATGACACATAAAATACTTAGCAAAGAATGACAGTAAGAACTGGGCTTATATAGGGTGCGCTAACCATGCTAATGAGACACAGATGCAAACAATGAGTGCTGATGAGAACGGGCAGAGGATTATGAGGAATGAAGTCCTTGATAGAGTGGCAGAAGTCTAGGATGGAGTGCCCTCTAGTGGACAACCAGTGCACTCCAGCCGGTGATCGTGACATAACCCCCTCTCAAAGGATTGGCTTCCAGACACTCCAAAACAACAGAAGTTCAAGTCCAGGAGGGAGGCGGAACAGATCAGGGGGAGGGATGGTGGGCCATGCCTGGAGGGCATGGAGACTGAGGTAGACCAGGGAGCCAGGGCAGAGCAGGAGGCCAGGGCGGAGCCAGCAGAGCAGGAGACCACCAGAGTGGAGCCGGCAGAGCAGGAGACCACCAGGGCAGAGCAGGCAGAGCTGGAGACCACCAGGGTGGAGCAGAAGACCACCAGGGCAGAGCAGGTGGAGCTGAAGACCCCCACAGCAGAGCAAATGGGACCGAAGATCACCACGGTGGAGCAGAAGGCCACCACAGCAGAGCAGACAGGACTGAAGATCCCCATGATGGAGCAGAAGACCACTTCAGCGGAGCTGATGGTGCAAGGGACCACCAAGATGGCTCATGAGATGTCCACCAAAGTGGAGCTGACGAGGCAGATGACTACCAAGGTGGATCAGGCGGGACTGAAATAGAGAGCACAGAGAGGTTAACAACGGCCTCTGCGGCCGTAACAGGACAGGCAGACAGTTCAGAGACGGCTTCATTGACCGTGACAGGACAGGCGAAGAGCTCAGAGACGGCCTCCTTGGCCATGACAGGGCAGACTGTGAGTTCAAAGGCGGCCTCCTTGGCCGTGACTGGACAGACAGAGAGTCCAGGGACTGCCTTCTTGGCCGTGACAGGACAGGCAGGGAGCTCAAGGGTGAACTCTGTGGTTGAGACAGGACATGCAGGGAACTCACAGGCTGGCACCAACACAGGACTGAGCTCTAAGGCCTGAGTGTGGACTCTGGAGTGGATTCATGGACTAGAGCGGGCTCTGGATCGGAGCTTGGTGTATGGTGTATGGTGTATGGTAAATGGTGTATGGTGTCCAGGAACCAGGAACCAAGATACGGGAGAACCAAGATACAAGGATTAGAATTGCAGTAATGACAAATACAAGACTTAGCAAAGAATGAGAGTAAGAACCAGGCTTATATAGGGTGAGCTAACCATGCTAATGAGACACAGGTGCAAACAATAAGTGCTGATGAGACCGGGCAGAGGATTATGGGGAATGAAGTCCTTGATAGAGTGGCAGAAGTCTGGGATGAAGTGCCCTCTAGTGGACAACCAGTGCACTCCAGTCGGTGATCGTGACAATTGGTTATAATTGGATTATATGAAACATTATTACTGTACTGTTAATATCTTGTGGCATCATTCTGTCTTGTCATTTTCAATAACAGTACCATTTAAGTAGCCTAAATTGTTTATCATCACGATTGCATCACATTTCATTGTCTCATTAAAAGAAAATCTTTGATAACGATTAATTGTTAGTAATTTGATTGACGAGATTAACACTCTGTAGATCTTAAATGACATTCAGGTTGAAAGTAAAGTACACTCATGAATGTTCACACTGCATAGTCAAAAATAAATGTAACAATTAAGAAAACTAAGAAAACCACAGAGGTCTTTGAATGAAGCAAAATATAAAAAAAAGTTTAAACATCCATTTCTTAAAAGATATTTCCATAGTTTTAAATACTTCCTTTATACATTCACAGCCAGCGTTTTGAGATGCAAATCAACTATATAAAAAGAAAAGAGAAGAATACATGGCTGTTGTATTTGAATTCCCACTAAAATACTCAGGACTGTTTATACAACAGCCTCGACTTAAGTAAGGTCACTGCGCTCTGCAGAGAAATTCATGGAAATTATATTCAGCAGAACAATAAATGTTAGGAATGTATCACATGAATAAAACAGCTTATTTAAACATAACATAACTACACAGAGTGCTAAAAAAGTACATTAATGTTTAGCTCACGGAATGACTACATCTTTGTAATGTAGATTTGACAGGGGCTTTTATAGTGCCTCCTATACAGTGAAATAAATTACCTGTGTTTTTCTGTTTTAAATGCTGCTAAGCTATGACCAGAAGCACAAGTAACATTATCTATATGGTCATCCAAGCGGAAGTGCACAGATTGTCTGGCCTGTATTCACTCAGCTGTGAATTTACTCTCTGTGCTAGACTGCGACGAGCAGTGATCTACTTCTGACTGCCAGCAAGGGACACTGGTGTTAGTTGACACAAGGACTGTATCTCAGTAATTATAAGGTTTTGAGTCAAATTCTTGTGTTCTCTAAAATAGTTTTATATGTTGGTTTCAAGACTGTCTTAAATAAAAATAAAAAAATGTCTTAAAAGCCCGATTTTCTATATAGTGTGACAACATACCCCACTATTAGTCAAGGTATGTTAAATGAACTGCATTTTGTTTTTCTCCTGAGCAAAAACGGTAGATTTGTTTATTAACTTTTTGTAGCCAAATCATTTACTGGAGTAAACAGTGTGATGACTAGCCCAGTTGTCCCTTATATTACATTCAGTTGTATTATATGTATATTCAACTTTAATATTCCTCAAAAATTCCGGTTCTGACTGGATTACTGGTGGATTATTGTGATGCTTTCATCAGCTGTTTGAACTCTCATTTTGACGGCACCCACATTCACTGCATGCTTAATTTTTTTATCTGTTCTGATAAACAAACAAACCTACATCTTGGATGGACTAAAGAGTGAGTACACTTTTAGTAAATTTTAATTTATGGGTGAACTATCCTTTTAACTCAAAGTATTAAACTTATATTCTTTTTTTTTTTGTTTGTTTTTGGGAACTTTATACATTTAAAAGAATTTAAGATAAAAGTGTTACTTGCATTGATAAAATGTTCAAAATATGAATACACTGTTCTGTTTGCATACTGAATTGTGATGACACAATTTCTTGCATAATGACAGCAAACCTCTGATGCAGCATTTCATTTACACAGAATCAAAGCCTAACAGCGCACTTAAAATTTTAGATGGATAGTTCGCCACAAAAAAACACCCTCAAGTTCTTACGAAGGTATTTTGAAGAATTCTGGGAAATAAACAGTTGACGGTAGCCAGTGACTTACATATTATAGAAAAAAATTATAATAAAAATATGGAAGTCAATGCCTACCAGCAATTGTTTGGTTACCCACATTTGTCAAAATATCTTCTTTTGTGTTCAACTGAAGAAAGAAACTCGTACAGGTTTGGAACAACTTGAAGGTGAGTAAGTGATGACAGAATTTTCATTTTTGGGTGAACTCTTCCTAACACTATTCTTTTGCTGCCTTGCAAGCACCAATTTTTGGAATTAAACCCACATGTGACAGACACTTTGTATCACTTAAGGTGACAGAAAGGACCAACAATTAGAGACAACCTATTTATTTGGTTTCAAATTACCATGGCAACACAGCTCACAAGCTCACAATTAGCCATTGTTGACCACTTTTTAATTTAGATTTTTTTTAAGTACATTGAGTCTTTAAAACGCTTATTTTCTTTACTCGAAATGGAGCAAAAGCAGTCTTGCATCATTGTGCTAATCTCAAGTTACCTTACAAATCTGACACAAAAACAGATTGTGTGTTGGAACTTGTATTTATTTATGTATTCATTAAGCTCATGTATTCTTAAGGCTGCAAAACAGCTGCGTCCTGTCACGTTTAGGACAAAAGATACACTGTTTAAGAAAAACCATCATATACAGTTGCTTACTAGTACAAAAGGTTGCAAACAGAGAAATATGCAAAGCACACAACAGATCTGCTACTGTATGTGTTACAGCTGAACAGAATCTGATGGCAATTCTACATCACATTCAGTTTGATAGCGGACTATTTATTCATTTAAACACATCATGGTTCCTCTCTTTGACATTACAACATGTTAAAACCATAAATACTATTTATTAGTAATGAGTCCCAATCATTATTGTGCTTGTATTTCAAATAGGGCAAAATAATCTCTCAGTGGAGGTTCCCCTGCTACGAAATTCTCTTCTGTTCAGTCCACACAATGCCCCATCCGCGCCGGTTTCTGTGTAACAGTACTCTTGGGGTCATACAGGATAATGGCAGCCCGGGAAATTTCCAATGAAAGGTTTTCAGGAACAGACGACAAGGGCTCTGGAGTGCGAGAGCCCAGACCTGACTAACGCATCCCATTCTGACCATCACTGGACGTTCATCTAAAATCTGAAATATGTTTTTTGGGTTTATTGCGAACAGGAAGGTGAAAAGTGATTGTTTTGTATATCTATTATAAGTGCAGTCATAATAAAATTACATCTAACTTTGTGCCTCATACATAGCAGAGCATGGTAACAAAATGTATACAAATAGAAAGATAAAATTAAGTCCCATGTGTCAAACAATATGATGATGTGCAAATAATTTCCAGACAATCACACAATTCTCATCACAGTCTCATAACAGTTTCATGTCACTGCTGTTAGTCAAAATGACATCTCGACTTTTCCCCAAAACAACATCTGTTATAAATCAATAGGCACAATAGTAACTGAAACTTCTGCCACTAAACCAATTCACGCCGCATTTTCTTGCTGATTTTGTTCGTCGTTTCTAGACCCAGCTAGTCTCCAACAGTGGCGCTATGTACAGTACATCCATAATAGAAGAGAAGGTCCTTGGCTCGGTACATCCATACTGATGAGTTCTGAGGATTACGCTCAAGAGGTTAAAGGTCACCGCTCTGGGGTTCCGGGTTCCGGGTTTCACGACCTGAGTTGCGGCCTAGTCTGGGGAAGCGGCTGGAGGCTTTGGATCGGGCAGTTTTGGCACCACTCTCATTAGCTGACGGGTTGTCCCTGTTAGAGAACAAACGCAAACATCGGTAAACCCCCTGGGCGCTTTGCTCTTTCTTCTCCTACCTGACTCCAGGTGTTCATTTGTGTTGTAATACCTTTGGAAAACAGATAGTTCCCACCAGGCACCTAAATGCTTAAACGGAGCAGGAAACCACGGTTCGGAGATGTTCTCTGTGCATTTACAATAACTAAATGCTACTGTGTGTCAGAGTCCCCATTGCAGGTAAATAATCAATGAAACAAGCTCTTTGCAATAACATTCCTTCCTTACATCCTCACAGACCGCACACTGACATCACCCGTAACTCAAGGCTAACAAACTGAAACTGAAAGATGCCTGCGAGTTGAGCATCGAGCGGAAAGCCCCCGAGGCTGAATGTGTGTCAGAGACAGTGTGTGAGTCCTGAGGGAGGGCTGTATAGACATCAGCTGCAGTTGAGGGTTAGACACTATACATACACAGCTGCGGCTCACCGTACAGAGACAACTCCAGCCTGGATACCATGACAAGTATGCCACTCATGAGCTGGAGGAGTCTAGGAGCCAGTGGTGGTCCTGGCTCCCAAACTACATATAAATATAAATAAACAATGTAAATAATGAAACTATGTACTGCACATACTGTGCTGTAGACCTCTGTGTGCTAGCTATAAAATAAGATAATGATTAACTAAAAACATTTAAAGATAAAATAATATAATTAAATACAAATTTAAATAAAAGAGTAAAAATTTTATTAAATTAAAAAGTTCCATGTTTTTTTTATAAACCAATTAAAATTGCAAATAACTATTAGTAACAGGGCCACATTTGAATTTGAAACTTGACTAAATTAACATTCAATAGAGTGCTTCAGGGATGACGTATTTTTGTCTGCCAAAACCAGGTAACAAGTTAGCATTTCAGCACTTCCTGTTCCATCGTCCTGAAAGTCAATGTGTTTTTTGAATGTATTTTCAGTTAAATGCCTGAAATAAGGCCACAATTTCAAGATATTTTCATGTTTTATTTTAAAACAAAAACAGAAAAAAAGCTTTTAATTGTCTTGAAAAAAGTTCTAAATGCTAAATGAGACTACAGAGGTTGTTGGACATCAAACATCATCATGCCAAACAGGTAAACTCATTCATTTATAGCCTATGGTTAGATTTTTACTTCTGCCGACTGTATTTATGCTTCAAAATTCATAAAAGTTGTGTTCATTTGTGAAGATCATAATGTATAAAGCGAGTAAGAATTGTAAACTTTTCTTTGATCACAGAGTTTATTTTCTGCAATCCAAACGGCAATGGGAAAAATCAGTCTTCTTGTCGAGGTAACCAGGGTGATGCTACTCTAACTTCTGGGTTGGTCTAAAAATGACATCATCACTGTAGCACTATATAGATGAGGAGTGTTTTTTTTCTATTTTATTCTACAGCATCTTATTTAATTTACCTTATTTTTATGGTGCCGATGGTGAGCAGAAAAACTAAAAGAGGGCGGAAAAGCAGGAAGGTGCACAAGAAAAAAATACACATTGGGTCACAATTAAAGGTGTCAGGTGGGAAGGAGGGCAGTTGCAATGCCATGAGACTGCCATAGATGAGTGACAGAGAAGTGGTGTGTGTCTGAGAGCTGTGTGTGCCTGTATCAGCATTGTCCAGAATTCAGCGCTGCACAAAGAATCATGGTTTTTGTGTGATTGTGGCAAAAGGAAAAAGCCAAGGCATCACAAACTTTGGACATATGGGATGGAAAGGGTGTGACTGCATTCAATCTAATTCACACAGTGATGGTGTGTGCTTTATATGCATGTGTAAAGTGAGTGCCAGACATTTTAGGAGTATAGAACCACAGAGAAGAGCAAATAAATGGTTTTGTCAAACTGAATGCACCTACATTTGCACAAAAACTTGTGTGGATTTACAATGGATTTCTGCTAAAATTACTCATAAAATTTGATCTGATCTTCAACCAAGTCACAATAACAGACACCACAGTCTGCTTAAACATGTTTTCAGGTAAAAATGGAACAGGTTAATCAGGGCTTGACATTAACACTTGTCTGCTTTACAAGTGGATTTTGTGTGGCAAGTGAAAGAGAATTTTCCTTGCCCGACCGGACAAGTAACATGTTTAAAATGTCAATAACAAACAATAACTAGGGCAGCACCGAAACTTTGGCGAGAATGATTTTGAGTGTGATCTTGTGGCACACAACAGCCACGATAGTGTTGTATAACTGATGTAGGCCTATTGGTTTTATTTCATTTTTCCTTTTTTTAAGTTGAAATATTCCCAAACAAATGGCTGCAATATAACAAAGAGTGAAAAATTTAAGGGGGTCTGAATACTTTCCGTACCCACTGTATATCATGAATATCTTGATGTGTAAGTAAATGAATTTTGCATTTATAACAAGCCCTGGGTTAATGACTAACTTAATTGGAGTCAACCGGAGTCAGAGCTATCAGAGCTTAATAAAATAAAATAAAAAATCTAATTGAATAATTATAATATGTTTAATATTAATATTGACTTTTTAATAAAATAAAATCCAATTGTATAAATCCATAGAAAACGCACAGATTTTTTTTTCTTGAAAATGTAGGTGCATCAGAAGAGAAAACCAATTACTTGCTCTGTGCTGTGGTTCTATATTACTAATGTCTGGCACTCACTTTGCATAAAACAACATAACTGTGTGAATTTGACTGGATACAGTCACACTCTTTCTATCCCACAAGGCATCAAATTTTATGACCAATTTATGCAAAAATATGGTTCACATACTTTTTCCTGCAACTGGATAATCTTAAAGGGGGGAGGAAAACATGAATTTCCTTCTCTGTTCTCAAAAAGGACCAAAAACAAGAGTTTCAAAGTACCTTTGTGAGGGTATGATGGAACAGCCACTTATGAAGCCGTTGGTCTGAAAGCAGGCTAATCTAGCTGTACTGATTACATATAACTAATAACGTTCAAGAGGTTTCAAAGGAAATGAAATTTGAACAGTAAGCCAGAAGTGTGGTTATGCAACACACAACACACCATGATCGGCTTTTCCTCTGCTGTATTGCTGCTGTCAGATTGGCATAGGGCTGGGAGAGAAAAGAATGAAGTGCTGAGCAGCTTTCAATCAGGCTGGAGCAGCAGGGAAGAAGCTGGATGCAGGTAAGTGGGGTGCTGTGATGCCCCCCACCAGTAAATCTATCCATCTCTCCATCCATCCATTCTCAGCTCCTCACAAAGCAACACACACACACACTCTCTCTCTCACGCAGATACTATTGAATGGGTCCATGCAGCAGGAGGCTGATCTGCAGTCTAAACAGTAGCCGCTGAAAGTGTCCACGTGTTACATAACCTCTAAGAACAGAGATTCAGCTCTTCATTTAGCCATGGAACAAGCCCTCCTTATCTGTCTATCCCCTGCACCTCTGCTGGAGAGGCTTCTTGTTATGGATTTAGGTGGATAACATCTATGAGGCAAATTTTGAAATGACTCAACCACATTGAAACTGAATCGAGCCTTACTGGACATGGCCCCTCTCAATTGGGAAAACACTGGGATAGTCAATACTTCTCTGTGTGAGACTAGAAGCAATGTTCAATCAACCTCTTCCCTTAGATTTTTGGGCCAAGTGGATTTTAAACAATACAAAATAAATAAATAATCTATCTAAAAATATTATATGTATACTGTATATGCATATATCTATATCTATATCTGTATCTATCTATCTATCTATCTATCTATCTATCTCTATACACAGACACACACAATAATACACAAAATTATATGTACACTAATGTTTTTTTTTTAAAGAAACTAAACTTTTAACTACATACACACACTCACACAATAACCTGATTGTACCTGTATCCTAAACTTCAAGTTGCTAAAAAGTGTTTTTGTCTTTGGTCATGTCTAATATTGCCTAGAGCACCAAGTGAGTCAAGACTGCCACTAGAGCCCCATCAAACCAAAACGATGACCCAGGGTGAGACCACCTTTGCTGGAAACTCTTTGAAGCAGCCCTGCACTGTAAAGATGTATAGACTTCAAGTGTCTTCCATTTCAAAGCTGAAGTCTCTCAAAGTCTAAAAACGTTTTTTGTTTCACAGAAACCTTCTCACAAGAAAGTCTTTTAAAAGACCTTCGTCATTCGCACTCAAAAGTGACAGTGACAGTCAGGAGATGCCAGGAACGGGCACACAAGAGCTGTTTTAACATGAAAGGATTCCCTAGTTGGCAAAGCGAGCTCACTATAACCTCTGTGTGACAGCTTTCCACTCTGTCTGTTTGCCAGGAGGCGGCTTTTTTGGCATGGAACGAATATGTAATCACTATGTGTTTAAAATGACTGTGAGCAGCTACTCCAGGTCTGAGTGCCGCTTCCAGACCACAAGAACAGAACTGTTAATCACATAAATCACACTGTTTATTATTGAGAATAAACACATTTCCTAGACAGCATGTTCAGAAACATAACTGGTGAACGGTGAACTGTATCTACACAAAGGAAATCCAATCCACATAGAGTTAGTTCTCCCCAACTAAAAAGTAGATGGACTCATCTGTCCTTAGCACTCAAATTATCTCCAGTCATGCCAAGCAAAGAGCCATTATCTTCTCACAATGTGCCAAGGGTCTCTTTTAATTCAATCAGATTTGATGTGAGGGTAATTTATTTATTTTTTATTAATTTCCTGTATGTAATCGTGTCACACTGCCAGACCCAGTGCTAACAATAAACCAATGAGATGCAGCATGTGAAAGGAAATCTGACCTGATAAATCAATGAGCCAATCAGAACAGACAATTGGCCGGTAAAATGCAGGATGTGAGTGGTCCTGTGAGCAAATCAAATTTCCTGTAAAAGAACAGCTGTGAGATGATTGTTGACGCAATTTGTTCTGTGTAAAATGGGCAGTGTGGGATTTCAGTGAAGAAACGCATGTCATATTCACAAACCATTGTAATCTAGCTTAACCAGGTGCTGAAACAGAGCCATGGGTATTTAAAATAAAGTCACTGTCATTCTTTTCAGCACAAACACACCTGTCTATGCAAATAAGGCTTTAGGAAGTTTGTAATAGTGAGCGCTATATGCTTGCCATAATTAACGGTGTGCTATTGCCGCCCATTGAAAGCAGGCGGTAAATAGGGTTTATTAAAAAGTCATGTTTGTGTATATTTTCTACTCATCATGGCAGTAGTAATTCATCAAATGATGATCAAATAATGGAGAACAGCATTATAATGGGGCATATATCCAGACAGCATGCAGTCGAGTACACTTTCTGCATTTTAAAAAGCCAATTGTAATGGTCTAATGATACCGGTATAGTCCTAGAAAAGCGGTGGTTCTCAACAAGAGGGTCACAGAATGATTATTTATAACAGGACAATAAGCATCAAAATAAGCTAAAACAAGTAAAATTCATGATACTTCGTCTTTTATTTCTTCCTCTCAACAACTATTTTTTTTTCTTTGAAGAATCAGGGTTCTTGTGTATTTATGAGGTAGCCTAATTTTAAAGTGCAATTTCTAGACTTCAAAAAGAAATCTGAATCGATAAAATAAAACTCTCTGGGCATTTTTTATAATGAATATACTTTTTTTTTCAAGCCACACCAAGCTCCAAAATATTTCACTAGGTAGAAATTGTGAGTAAAAAAAATAATATATATATTTAAAAATCCTTATCCAGTAACTCACAAATAAGTGGAAAAAGTACTATAAATTCAGTTTAAAAAGAGTGGGAACCTTGAAAAACATTCCACTCATAAAACTTCTGAAATGCTTACATTTAGTTTACAGACACAAGGAGTGTCTGGCCTTCAGATGTTGTTGTGGACATAGGGTTGAGAACCACTGCACTGAAATATACCAGATTACATCTTCTGCATCTTTCACAACCAAACACTGAGATGCAAAACACAAAAATTGTGAATTTTAGCATGCAAACTGCGTTCAATACAAACTTTTCACAGCCTTATTTGCATAATTCCTCCTTTAGTGAATCATGTGAAGCACAAATGGCAAATGTGAATGTGGCACTATAAGTGGATGCAATTCATTCTTGGCGAATTCCCCTTGTGTGTCATTTCTGTATTCAGCATGCATTTGTGGCATTTGAAAGTTTGATTGCATTGGCCTACTTGAGTGACAACTCAACATGGCATGTATCATCCATCGAGGCACTTAAATACAGTGTCATATAGAGACCATGGAGCTGAATTACACAAAGTTGATGTTTATTGCATGTGAATTATTGTGTCAGTGTGTGTATGTACTCACTGGCAGAAAGGCAGCAACTGCAGTAAAGTTTCCTTTGTGGGCTGGGCAGTGAATTCAGGCAGTGTCTGGATCAGTTTATTCATCACCATACGCAGGTATGACTGCAGCTGTTTCCTCCTCTCCTCTACAAACTTTGCATCCTACAAATTGAAACAAATACATAATTCAAGTGTCTTAAATGGATAGTTCAGCTATAAAATTATCATTGTTCACTTCCCCTCATGTCATTCCAACCCTTGTGAAAAAGTTGAAACTTTAAATCATTGTTTTAATAATCTTCAGTCATGCTTCAAAGAAGTCCTGTACACTTATTTTGATGTGGTTGCAAAGTACTTGATCATTTAAACTAGTGTTATTTTATATTACATTTAAAGTGAATATATTTTACATCTACTAAATTTCGATTTAATCATTAGAAAGGTGTAATTACAAATATATTTAAACGTATAACATACAAGTTTCAATAGAAATTACATTAAAGTATATTTTAGTTCATCATAAAATCAACCTGCTTTGTCAGTACATCCGACAGTACACTTTAACCATATTTCAGACAATAGAATTAATTATGAAATTACATATAAAAATTTACTTAAGTCCTACTAAAGTGGGTCAAAAAGCACTAAGTTCAATTAATTGCATTAAATAAGAATTGCCATATTTGAATATCGCCCAAAATACCATATTTGAATATGCAAACTTAAAAGAGTTTTGAGAGCTTTGGTATAAATGAAGATTATGAGACTCAAATATGGGTCTATATATAACATAAAGCTATTGTATGACTTCAGAAGATAATCATATTATATATGCACAGTTTGTACACACACACACACACACACATATATATATATATATATATATATATATATATATGTATATACTCTGCTAAATTTATCCATGATTACATAGTTCATCCAAACATGATAATATCCCTCTAAAAACCTGTTTCATCAGGACTTGCTTTGAATTTACAGCATCAAATCATCAGCATCACGACTGTACCCAGCATATCACGCTGATGGATAACCAGATCAAAGTCAGCGCTGTGGCGGGGGGGACATCAAAAGCAAATGAGATAGAACAAGGGACAGCGGGAGAAAGATTGAAATGTTATTAATGTCCCCTTGATGGCTGATTAATTGGCCTTGATACTCCAGTTCTTGCATCTGTACGCATGTGACATCAGTCATGTCTCACGTGCTGAGGGGAAGTGGACTACTCTAAATGCTCTGGCGTCACCCACTTCATCAGAGGGCAACGGCTCAATCACCCAACAATAATAAAGAGCGTTAGGAAGTGTGTGAGTGTTTGCATGCCATCTAAACCACTGCCACCCTGCATTTCAGCATCAGTGTGTCATCAGGGCATGGAGTTCTAATAGTGATCTATCTCCAACAGGCATGAAAAGGCATAAAAGTTGATTATGATATGGGATATGTGGAGGAGATCACCGCTGTCAGATTAGCTTACCCATGAGGGCTGTGCCTACCAGAGCTAATTTAATGCTCCAGCCCACGTCATGTCAGAACTCTCTTTAAAGGTGAGAACCATGACACCAAGTACAAATATTTGCTCTTTGTGCACTTTACAACAATAACATAAAGTAATATTCACTATAAAGTATATTAGAGGGTCTTCAAAACCCCTTAGTGGGGACAGAGACGAAGCAGGGACGCCCTGTTTCATAATGTATTAAAATTGAGAGTTGTAGGGTTTAGGCCTGACCTATAAAAACATAAATATAGTACCAAATATATGTATTTGCATACTTGATGCTCACATTGCAAAAACATTAAAATAATCACATCTAATAGGAAAACTACATCTAATAGGATAAACTGGCTCAAATATGATAGCGTTTCCTTGAATAGAACTTGTTTGATATGACAGGCAAAAGAAACCAAAAGCCTTTGGTTTTCTTAGGAAAAGGCTTATTTCTAACATATTCCTAGTTTGAGGATGTATTATGCTACTAATTGGATTCTATCAGGATAACAAGATAGTAAAACACCTTTTTTACTGAGGGACCATTAAGGGCAAAACACCTAGATAAACAAGCCAAGCACATGCACGAACAGCATTATGGCAAGTGCATCTAATAACTGATGTTTTAAGCTGTTTATGCATAGAGCATAAGTAGGACCTTCAGACAAGCTGTTAACACAAACACCCGCCTGCAATTCACACAAACAACTCGTGACAAAACCAACAAAGCACTTAGCGATCTCTTAAGAAACAAGAGTGTTTCTCTGCAAATTATTTTCTCAGGCTTCTGTCTTTGGGCCAGTTTTGTTTCTTTCCTTAAACGACAGGCTCCTCTCCAAATTCCTCAAAGCACAGTTCTGCTGATCGTCTGTGTCTGACAGCGACAGGCAGTGAGACTGAGAAAAACACTGCCAGACGCTGCTATTATAGCCAGTAAAGACTTGCTGGAGTGCTTCTCCATCTTCACAGGCTATTGTCTGGACCAGGAGTTGGCTTTAGCCAGCTGGTGCTACACAATGAGTTGTGTTTGTGTTCGCTTTTGTCCAATCACACGTGCAGCATGTATGGACATGTGTGCAGATCTGAATGAAGAAGACACGTCGTCAAAATGACAAAGTGTGAGGGTGATTCAAGCTGGTACAGTGAAGAGCAGCACAACCCATCATACTCTCCGAGAATTAAACCGTTATGACTGAAAGAGGTGATTTATCACGCTGACCGTCCCACTGAAGGTTGCTGTAAAAGTGGTTGTAACATTGCTTTTCGAATAGGGAAATAACCTCATTCATCCTAAAAATAAAAACTGATGGTACATATTTACTCTAGTTTATCATCTTCCGTAGCCACTGCCCGCAACTGCCTGACAAATTGGATTTACTTTACCAAACCACATCAAGCCGATCAATCATTCTAGGCATATCTGCAGTAACTAATCAGGCATGATGTGAGAAGTTATTTACAATTATGCACTTGCCTGATGGTTTTATCCAAAATGATTTACAAAGCATTCAGGATATAATCCTGTGACTCAAACTTTTGATGCAGTCGTTGCAAAAGCCATGTTACAAAACCAGGGTTGTGCAAAATTCAGAATTGAACTGAATTGGCCAGGGGAGAAGAGATCCTCCACTGAGCCTGGTTTCTCCCAAGGCTTTCTTCTCCATTTCTATCACCTGATGAAATTTGGATTACTTGTGACTGTTTCTTTTGCCTAGCTTAGTTAGAGTTTAATATTCATTTAATATTCAGTAATATTATCGATTTACTGCACCGGCACTATTGGATGAGAACTAGGGATGTAACGATTCACTCAACTCACGATTCGATTCGATTCGATTCACGATTTTGAATTCACGATTCGATTCACGGTTTTTTTTTTTACAAAATGAGATTTAAGACAAATTATAAATTAAATGTGTCCTTTTATTATTGCTTGGACAAAATACTGCATGTTTCTTTGTGAACTTGAAATATAACGCTATAATAATATACTAATATAGCACTTGTAAATTATTACTCTTTTGTTGGTTTTGATTGCTTCTATTGTCCTCATTTGTAAGTCACTTTGGATAAAAGCATTTGCTAAATATCAAAACTGTAATATAAAGTAATGTAAAACCGATTTGAATCGTCACATATTTGAATCGATTTTCAATCGGCTCGTGTTTAATCGTTACATCCCTAATGAGAACCAAACTTGAACTGAATTGAGTTAAATAATAACAGTATTGTCTTCCGTAGAGCTGCTTTATAGCTCGAATTTGTTCAGAACTGACACATTTTGCAACATCAACTCTGTTATTGAACCAAACTGAATCAACATTGAACTGACTTGAGTTGAATAACGATACTACTGTCTACAGTTGAGCTCCTATTCACGGAATTAAACTTGTTTGAACATATTTACATATTTAACTGACTGAAACTGACTGGAACTGAATAATGACACTGTCTTGTTAGAGCTACTTTACAGCAGAACATCTATTTAAAGTTTGCATCACCGATTATGCTACTTTCCTGTTTAATCCTGTTAAGCTGCTTTGAAACAATCTCTATTGAATAAAGTGCTACAAAAATAAAGATGACTTGGCATCCTACAAGAAGATGATCTGGAATTTATTGAATTTAACAATGTTCTTTCACCCTGGAACACAAAAGCAAATGTATTAAAGGGAAAATTAGACAATGGAACACACTTATTGTACTTTATCAGAAGAGACAATTGGATAATCAGTACTTGTATGGTTGAAGAAGCAGAAAAGGTCTGAAGATAGAAGACCAACAAAGACAAAGAATGAGTGTAAACATTTGTTAGCTATGAACAAATTTGATTCAGCTCGGTACAGGATACACCAGTTGGGAAGATCTGATGATGGAGAAAATCCTGAGTAGTGTTGCCTCTTTTTTGTTGGAGAGTTAAGGGAATTATTATGTAGACTGCGATTGTAGAGACGATCATACTGATCACTGTCTTTATCATTCTCTCTGTCCGCAAGGCCTATAAAGCCTTTAAGCCTTTTAAACTTATTTTCGAAAGCCTTCAAACAAGGCTTTGTGAAGCCAATATTCAAATTTTGTCTTTACAAACTTTACTTTCTAGTTAAAAATGACATGTCCTTGAACTTCAATTTATTTTAATTCGACTTTCTTACATTCACATTCAAATTGCAGTTCTGCATTTTGTGTGCTACCTCATTTCAAATTCAATTCAAATTTAGGAATTGAACTGGAATTCACAAAACATTTTCAATGCAATTCTGAATGGTGCACAATCCTTTACACATTAATGCAACGACAAGCAATTTGTCTGACTGCACTGAACACTAAACTCGTCACAGCTGGCCATTAAAATTTTTTTTACTGCTTTTTTTTTATCTGTCCTATCAGGATTGTTTAGAATATGGTCTAACAGTATAAGGTACTTCACAAATGCAGTATCACACAATGACACCTTTTCATTAAGAAAGTTTTCATAAGAACCAAGCAAGTTATGAGAGATCACATGTGTTTCCTGTGTGTTCTCTGCACATGTTTGGCACAAGAAAAAACTGGCACACGCATCAGCCATGTTGCATATGCATACAAAATACAGGAGTCATAATTTATTCACTTTGACTGGTGAAAGCAGAAATGGCAAACACTGCATTAATGA